TAAAACAACAACTCTTGAACAACCAAAGGGTCAAAGAAAAGAGAAAAAAGAAAATAAAACAGTATCTTGAGACAAATGAAACTGGAAACAAAACATACCAATAACTATGTAATGCAGCAAAAACAATTCTAAGAGATAAGTTTATAGCAATAAATACTAAAGTTAAGAAAAAAGAAAGATCTCAAACAACCTAAATTTACACCTAAAGGAACTAGAAAAGGAAGAACAAACTAAGCCCAAAGTAAAGAGAAGAGAGAAAATAAAGATTAAAGTAGAAATAAATGAAATAGAGACCAGAAAACAAAAACAAAACAAAACAAAAAAAAACACAGAAAAGATCAACGAAACTCAGAGCTGGCTTTTGAAAAGATAAACAAAATTGACAAATCTTTAGCTAAAGTAAGAAAGAAAAGAAGACCCAAATAAATAAAATCAGAAATAAAAGAGACATTAAACTGATACCACACAAATTGATGCAAAAGATCATAAGAGACTACTTTAAACAGTTATATACCAACAAATTAAATAACCTGGAAGAAATGGATAAATTCCTAGATACATACAACCCCTCAAGTCTGAATCATGAAGAAATAGTAAATCTGAACAGAACAATAGTAAGGAGATTGAATCAGTAGTTAAAACCTGCCAACAAAGAAAAGCCCGGGATCAGATGTTTCTCTAGTGAATTCTACTAAACATTTAAAGACCTAATGCCAATCCTACTCAAAATATTCCAAAAAATTGAAAAGGAGGGAACACTCCCAAACTTATTTTATAAAGCTATCATTAGCCTGATACCAAAGTCAGTAAGAGGACTACAAGAAAAGTAAACTACAGGCCAATATCCATGATAAATATAGATGCAAAATTTCTCAGCAAAACATTAGCAAGTTGAATTCAACAGCACATTAACATGATCATATATCATCATCAAGTGATATTTATCCCTGGGATGCAAGAANCACAGACAATGGTGTGGTGAAGGTCCTGGGGAAGAGGTGTAGAGAGGAGGAATCAATGGGGCAAAAAAGGGGACATCTGTAATGCTTTCAACAATAGATAAATTTTTTTAAAAAAAGAAATTACATGCAAGTGGAAACCAAAAGAGAACAAGTGTAGCTGTACTTATATTAGACAAAACAGACTTTGAGCCAAAAATGGTGACAAAAGACAAAAACAGTCATTATATAATGTAAAAGAGGTCAACTCATCAAGAAGGTATTACAATTGTAAATATATATGCACCCAGTATTGTAGACATCTAAATATATTAAGCAAATACTAACAGATCTGAAGGGTAAAATAGACAATAATACAGTAATATCAGGGATTAAATACCTCACTTTCAACAATGGACAGATAATTCAGACAGAAAATCAACAAGGAAACATTGGACTTTAACCATACACTAAACCAAATGGACCTAATAGACATTTACAGAACATTTCATTCAACAGCACCAGAACACATTTTTTTCCAGCACACACAGAAAATTCTCCAGAATAGGTTATAAAAAGTATGAGCAAATTTAAAAAGACTGACTTAATACCGAGTATCTTCTCTGACCACAATAGTATGAAACTAGAAATCAATAACAGGAAGAAAACTGGAAAAATCACAAATGTATGGAAATAAAACAACAACTCTTGAACAACCAAAGGGTCAAAGAAAAGAGAAAAAAGAAAATAAAACAGTATCTTGAGACAAATGAAACTGGAAACAAAACATACCAATAACTATGTAATGCAGCAAAAACAATTCTAAGAGATAAGTTTATAGCAATAAATACTAAAGTTAAGAAAAAAGAAAGATCTCAAACAACCTAAATTTACACCTAAAGGAACTAGAAAAGGAAGAACAAACTAAGCCCAAAGTAAAGAGAAGAGAGAAAATAAAGATTAAAGTAGAAATAAATGAAATAGAGACCAGAAAACAAAAACAAAACAAAACAAAAAAAAACACAGAAAAGATCAACGAAACTCAGAGCTGGCTTTTGAAAAGATAAACAAAATTGACAAATCTTTAGCTAAAGTAAGAAAGAAAAGAAGACCCAAATAAATAAAATCAGAAATAAAAGAGACATTAAACTGATACCACACAAATTGATGCAAAAGATCATAAGAGACTACTTTAAACAGTTATATACCAACAAATTAAATAACCTGGAAGAAATGGATAAATTCCTAGATACATACAACCCCTCAAGTCTGAATCATGAAGAAATAGTAAATCTGAACAGAACAATAGTAAGGAGATTGAATCAGTAGTTAAAACCTGCCAACAAAGAAAAGCCCGGGATCAGATGTTTCTCTAGTGAATTCTACTAAACATTTAAAGACCTAATGCCAATCCTACTCAAAATATTCCAAAAAATTGAAAAGGAGGGAACACTCCCAAACTTATTTTATAAAGCTATCATTAGCCTGATACCAAAGTCAGTAAGAGGACTACAAGAAAAGTAAACTACAGGCCAATATCCATGATAAATATAGATGCAAAATTTCTCAGCAAAACATTAGCAAGTTGAATTCAACAGCACATTAACATGATCATATATCATCATCAAGTGATATTTATCCCTGGGATGCAAGAATGATTCAACATAGGAAAATTTAAAAGTGTGAAAGATAAAAATGGTATTATCATCTTGATAGATGCAGAAAATGCATTTGATAGTAAAACAACCTTTCATGATTAAAAATAAAAATCTCAACAAATTTGGATAGAAGAAATGTACCTCAATGCAATAAAGACCATATATGACAACCTTAGAGCTAACATCATGTTCAACAGTGCACATTTGAAAGATCAAACAGTGCACATTTTGTCTAAGATCAAAACTGCTCCTATTCAACATAATACTGAAAGTCTTAACCAGAGCAATCAGGCAAGAAAAAGAAATAAAAGGCATTCTAATCAGAAAGGAAGAAGTAAAAATGTCTTTGTTTGCAGATACGATCCTATGTATAGAAAATCTTAAAGACTCCACCAAAAAACTGTTATAACTAATCAACAAATTTGATAGAGTTGCAGAATACAAAATCAACATACAGAAATCAGCTACATTTCTATACATTAACAATAAAATATCTGGAAAAAAAGAATCCCATCCACAATAGCATCAAAAACAATAAGATACTTGGAAATAAATTTAACCAAATTTATATACAAATTTAACTCCATTCCTATCAAAATTCCACCAAGATTTTTCATAGATATAGACAAGAGTATTCTAAAATTTTTATTGAGAGGCAAATGAACTAGAATTACTAAAATAATTTTGAAGAAGAAAGTGGAAGAAATCATTCTACCTAATTTCAAGACTTATTCTACAACTATAATAATTAAGAATGTGTTATTGACAGAGGAATAAGCACATAAATCAGTGGAACAGAATAGAGAACCCAAACATAGCCATGTACAAGTACAGACAACTAATTTTTTTAAAAGATGCGAAACCAATTCAATGGAAGGTAGTCTTTTCAACAAGCAGTGCTGGAGTAATTGGACTTCCATCGACAAAAATATGAACCTTGACCTAATGACATCTTATACAAAAATTAACTCAAAATGGATCATAAACTTAAATTTAAAATATAAAACTGTAAAATGTTTACAGCATAAGAAACAATAAGAGAAAGTCTTTGGGACTTAGAGTTAGGCAAAAAGTTCTTACAATTAATACTAAAAGCATAATCCATAAAAGGAAAAATTGACAAATTGGACTTCATCAAAATAAAAACTTTTACTCTGAGAAAGACCTTATTAAGAAGATGAAAGACAAGTTATTACCTGGGAGAAAATATTTGCAAACCACATATCCAACAAAAGACTAGTATCTGGAATGTACAAAGAATTCTCACAATTCAACAATAAAAAACAAACACCACCAGACATTTGATTGAGGAGTATATACAGTTGGCTAATAAGCACATGCTTAACCATCAAAGAACAACCATTACCCTGCTCTTTCCACTAATCTTTAGCAAAACTCCCCAATTCTCCTGAGGCCATTCTTGCTCCCCACCCCCCACCACCTTACCTCCCTTTTTCCTTCTCCCAATCTAAACCTGACTTCCCTGATTTGGTCCTCATAGGCTCTATCTATTCCAAAATTAGCACTCCCATGTACTCCATGCTGTGGACCTTATCTTGGTGTCAGGAGGAAGGAATCATGGGGCTGTTGAATCTCACCAAGTCAAGCCAGCCACTGAGAAGTGAGGCAGGGTGGTAAAAGGAAGAGGGATTTTCAGGCATGGGGAGGGGTGGGAGAATGGGTTGAACACAGCTGAGTTCAGGCAGAGGAATCTTTTTGGTGTTCCCTTCATCAAACCAGAAGTCACCAAGTTGTTTCCCCTCTCTTCATCTCAGATCAGCAAGCATGGATGAACTTGAGTTTTTCTATTCCCTAAGCACCAAAGCCTTTGCTGTTCAAATCAGTCTTAAATGTTTCACTTAATGGCCAGCAAAGTGACCTCTGGTTATTTCACATCCAAAATATGGTCAAAGTGGAAGAGGAATGTCTGGTTAAGGGGCAGACCAAATTATCCACGGCAGAGTGGAGGGGAAATTGTGTGTGTGTGTGTGTGTGTGTGTGTGATTCATAGGGACACATAGACCCAGAATTAAAACAGTGGAGGGCAGAGGCCCCCGGGATCCTTTGAAACTCCAAGGTGGAACCCAGGTCGGATGTACATCCTGCATGGAGCTTTCCTGCCCAGCCAGGATATCCTGTGTTTGTCAAAAGGAATGCACAGGGAAGCCCTGACCATTGTCCTTCCCAAAATCTGTCAGCCAGCCCCTCCCAGCCTGCGGCAGCCACCACAGGCAGAGGAAGAGTAACTCTGGAAACGGTGTTATCAGCATTCTCCATGGACTTCCTCATCTCCTCTGGGGCCTCACCTCGTTAGCCCCAAGCTCCTTAGCATCCTCAAACACAAATCTGGGAGGCTGGGATGGGGTCAATGTCCTGAAGCCAGCCCCCTTTCTTTTGCCAAGACCTGCCTCTGCACAGCCCTGAATGGACAGCAAGAGGCTGCAGCTGGAGTCCTGGGCCCCGATGGAGCCCTGGCTGGGGCCTGAGGCTCCTGCCCTCCGCCTGTGCTGGCCGGCCCTGCTACTTTGGGTCTCAGCCCTGAGCTGTTCTGTCTCTTCGCCGGCTCCTCCTTCTCCTTCTCTGGTGCCCCGAGTCAGAACCAGCTACAGTTTTGGAAGAACTTTCCTCGGCCTTGATAAATGCAATGCCTGCATTGGAACATCTATTTGCAAGAAGTTTTTTAAAGAAGAAATAAGGTCAGAATCTCAATCAGATAATTCTGAGGGGCAAAATTCTCTTCCCATCATGTAAAGATGTCCAGGAGTTTGTTGAAAATAAGACAGGATGTAATTTATGGGTGGGAGCTGAAGCAAAGCTATTTAATCATAGAAGTGATGGGTTGAAGTTGGGGTGGAAAGAGGGATAAGATGTGAAGTCAAATTCCAGCCCTAAATGCTAAACCCAAAGTGTACTTTTGAAGTGAGAGCTTAAACTTTTCTTTTCTGTGAATGGAGTAGTCTAAGATTATGGCATTAACCAAGTTCATTTCTCATAGAGAGAGGAAAATAAAATGTATAGAAAATCTATTATGTGACAGACATTTTTAAGCTATTTTTGTTTACTTACTCCTCACAACCATCCTTGGAGTTAGTGTTTTTCACTCTTTATTCAGATAGTAAACTGAGACATGTCAAGATTAAGTGACTTGCCCAAGGTCACCACCTAAAAAGTGGCAGATCTGGGATTCAACCCAAGGCGGTTTGCTCCAAAGTTTCTGAACCAGTTTTCTGTTGTGAGATGTTGCCTTGGTCAGAGGAAAACCCAAGTTTAGTAAATTGTAATATACATGGCTCTCACCAAAGAACAGGATCACACTCTGGAATTCAAGCCTGTCAACACACAGTCAATGAGACTTTATCACAGCCAAGACCCAGCAGGTGCTGTAGCAACAGGGCTATAACTCTGGTCATTGCCCTCCAGGGGTTTAGGAGGAGGGAGCCATGTTACCAATAACAATAATAAGGCCTGGTCTGATGCAAGCCAGAAGTGAAGTGTAAAGGACCTCTGGGAGATCAAGGAAGGGGATATTAATTCCAAATGAGGACTGAGGAAAGCCTTCTCCAGGGAAAGATATTCTAAGCAAGGCCTTAACTTTAATGGGAAGGGAAGAGAAGGGATTAAGGTAGAAGGACCAGCTTAAGCAAAGACCCAGAGGTGTGGGAAGAAGTGAAAAGCACTTAGTGACTGGAGCATGGGGTGTATGTGGAGGCATGACAGAAGGAGGAGGTTTGGAAGAGTCAGATGGTACAGGGAACCTTGAATGCTGTGCCCAGGAATTGGGACCTTAACCTGTGGACCAGTAATTCTCAACCTTTACAATACCAAAGACCTTTTGTAATAGGCCTCTTCTCTACCCAACCCTAAGGACCCTCAGTGTAAAATTATTAGTGTAAGATTTGGTGACTAAACAAAAGGCATTAATTTACAATAATTTTATTTCCTGTCAGTATTAACCAAAAGCATATTTGATTATTCAGCTAAGTTACTAAACAGAAATAACAAGTAAAAAATATTAATCGCAAGTGTTAAACTTCTGCCCTAGCCAGGTTTGCTCAGTGGTTAGAACGTCAGTCTGCAGACTGAAGGGTCCCAAGTTCGATTCCCAGTCAAGGACATGTACCTGGGTTGTAGGCTCTATACCTAGCCCCGGTTGGGGTGCTTGCGGGGTCAACCAATCGATATGTCTCTTTCACATTGATGTTTCTATTTCTTTCTCTCTCCCTTCCACTCTCTCTGAAAAGCAATGAAAAAAATATCCTTGGGTGAGGATTAAAAAAAAAAAAAGTGTTGAATTTCTCTTGCAAGATGGTAGATATTGTATAGAGTTGGTGTAGACTTTCCCTATTAGGCCTTTTTTTAAGGGATTTTGAAATTTGAACCCACGCACACAATTGGGGAAGCTCTATTGCAGGCAATGATGAGGGAGTTAAGTGGGGTAGGGAAAAGATTACACCTGTGTTTTGAAAAACACCTTATGGAAAGAAGTGTGCAGTGTAGACCAGTGATGCTGGCAGGGGCTGTCAGATCAGTTCTCTTCATGGAAAAGAAAGGTCATTGTAACAAAGTAGGACAGGAAGGATGCTAGTAAGTTCAGCTAGAGACTCATTTTGTTGACAAACTGTATCAATGTGAGAGGAAGTAAAGATGGAATTGTCAAAAGTGGTCAAGATTTCCCACCTAAGAAATGGAATGGAGAGGACCAAGAACACAGGTAAAGTAGGGCTGATTCCTTGGAGAAACAAGCAGTGAAAATATGAACAAATTTTAAGATAAAAGGGAAGGAAATTAAGGGATTCAACTAAGGAAGAGCTCCAGGTTCACATCCTCCTCCAGATAAGTAAACAAAGAGTATATTAATTTTATAGTTGACTCTTCACCAAGTGGTAATAAATAAAGTTTTTCTCACCAAGCAGATATTGGCCAAATTCAGGAAGCATTTCCCCAGATAGGTTTGTGGGCCATTCAAGTTCAGGATATTACTTAAACTCCCTCAGAATTAATTTTCCATGTGTGCCTGAAAGGGAAGTGTGCAGATGTAAGCAGGAAACCAGCAGGCGGGGCAGGTTGGGGTTTAGAGTTCTCCATGTTGAGGCTGTACGTTCATCATCACAGAAAAAGCAGAGAGAGACAGTGAGTGGGTCTGGGGACATGAACTTGTTTGTAGTCCTTTTCTCTACATTGTAAATAACTTTTTCCTTATTTTGAAAGTAATATCTGTTTATTTTAGAATTTTTAGGAAATATTGATTAAAGAAAGCACATAATAAAAATCATATATAATTCCTCCACCAAGAGATTATTCATTTGTTAATATTTTAGAGGGAAGGAAATTAAGGGATTCAACTTACTTGAATCCTTGTCACCTTTTTCCTAAGTATGAATTAAATTTTTTTCAACAAAATGTGATCATACTAAGAATACTCTTTTGTAAACTTTTATCTAACAATATAGCATTACTAACTATTCTTCTCCACAATTTGATATTTAGTGAATTAATGATATTCGACTGCAACAATCAACCAAAATTTAACTAATCCACTATTGTGAGACAACAAGGTTTTTTTTCACTTTTCAGTATTATAAACAGTGCTATGTTGACCATCCCTAGGGCTAGACTTTTGTACATGTCAGTGATTAGTTCCTATGACAAACTCCTAAAGGTGGAATTTCTGGGTCAAAAAATGCAGGGTTTTTTGGATTTATAAGGATGTATAAAAATCCTGTATTTTTGACCCTGAAATTCTGTATATATATGATAGATATCCAAATGGAGACTTCACTTATAGAGATCACTTCTTGCACACTCACAAATCTTTAATATTATTACTATTTTTGTCTGTATTTTTTGAGTTGAGTCCTCTTTTTCTTTTCACACTTATTGGTCATGTGTATTTCTTTTTTTCCTTTTTTTAATATATCTTTATTGATTTCAGAGAGAGGAAAGGAGGCAGAGAGAGAGAGATAGAAACATCAATGATGAGAGAGTCATTGATTGAGCCCGCAGCTCGGGCATGTGCCCTGACCGGGAATCGAACCCCAATCACCTGGATCCTAGGTCTATGCTCAACTGCTGAGCCACTCCCAGGTGGGCGGCCATGTGTGTTTCTCCTTTGCTAAATTGTCTACAAGTTCTCTCTTCTCTTTCTAATCCTGTGTTTGTTCATCTTGTTCTTGTTTATCTATAAACTTTTTCTACTTTTAAAAATGATTATGATGATACCTTAGGAGAAAGCCCATCCAAAATTCTCATACATTTGGCTGAAATACTATAATCAGACAAGCATTAGTACTCTATGCCTGGTCTTCACTAAGGATTAGATAGTGCTTGTTTAGCAACAAATAGAGAATGAGTTTCCCAGGCTGGCTGGGTAGGCTGAAGACACCCTATTGGTAGATGAATGTCACTTTTCCTTCTTCTCCTTATCTTTTCTTTGGTAAGAATGTTAATAATGAATCTGATGCTTCCCATACTCAACCATTGACCTTTGAACATTTGAATGTTTTTAGTATCAATTTTCCCATGCATTCCATGTTGACTTTCAAATCCTGAATGAAAAAGTTAAGGAAAGCTAGAAAAATTAGTAAAACTGATTGACATATTTTTCCTGCTGAAACATACCTAAGTGAAACCCTAAGTGATCACACCAACTGGCAAGATCTACCAGGATATGACTGATCAGTATTTGTACATGTGCAGGTAAAAGATGGGAGTTGGGGGAGGAATACTTAGTGGCAATATTTCTGATCAGAATCATTCCTAAGATTCCTGGGCTCTTACTAGGATGGATGCCTTACCTTACCTTTCTTATTATATCCACTTGGCCTTACATCCTCATCCTCACTCTCAAATTCTTAAAAAATGTCTAAATTCTTCTGAGTGGTAGAGGACTCACATTAAAATAAGTAAATCATTAGGCTTGATTTTGCCTTCCCCTCTCCTTTGCCTTTGTCTGTCTCCTTCACCTCAGAGGATGATAGTAATTATTGTTCTAACTCACTTCCCCAAATCAATTCAAGGCATTGGCTGCAGAGCCCAGAGCTTATGGCAAAAGGATCCATTTACACATTCAATCATCCATACATGCACCCATTAATCCATACAGTCACTCACCCAGGCATCCTTCAATGCATTCTTCCACCCAACCATCACTCTGTGCACCCTATCATCTAGCCCTCCATGTATCCATCTACTCACTTATCCATCTATACATCCAAATACCCATTCATCCACCCATCCATCAGTCCAGCTAAAATGTATTCAGCACTAATTTGGCGTTAAGCACTCCACTAGGCACTAAGAGGTTATTTTCTATTGGAAAGACAGACATAAATAAACAAATGACAAAAGTAGAGTCTGAGGACTATAGAAAATGCACAGGATGTCATGAGAGCATGTGAGAGGAGACTTTTATCTCAACTAGGAGATGAAGGAGTGAGGATCAGAAGAGATGATACCTGTCTCATTTTAAAAGGGTTGGCTAGTAATTATCCAGGCAAGAGGGAGGAAGAAAGGGTCTTAGACAAAGGGATCAGTACATGACAAGTTGAGTGGAAGCTCAGAGGTTCAACATGATGTGGCTTAATCAAATATGGTCAGTGGTTTAGTGAGACCAAAGCAAACTTGTAAGGGGAGTAGCAGGAGAGGGGCCTAGAACAAACATTATGAACTGCTCTAAGAAGTATGAAAGAATCTGGGTGTTTTAAGGGTTCTGTGCAGAGCTGAAAGGTGGCAAAGAGGGAAGAGAGGCAAGAAATATTTAGGAAGGCACATCTACAGACTTAGTCTTTGACTGGATGCAAGCATGAGACATATACTAGAGAAGAGGGCGTTTTATTCTTATTCAGTACTGTCACTCTCCCCC